CAGAGAGCGCCTGCCTGCCTGGATTCGCCTCCCTGGGGGCAGAAGTGAAGAAGTGGACAGATGCTGCCTGGACAAGCCCTGTCACAGAGCAGTCACTCTCCGCGGTGCGAGCAGTTTGCAGCCTCTGCTCTGAGCACGCTGCTGGAGAGAGGTGCGGGCGGCCCCGCCTCTGTTGCTTGGCTGAGGTCAGGAGGGAGCAGCTGGTGCCACTGTGGTGCTGGGGTATTTATTTCACCCCTCTCACGTCTTCCTGGAAGAATCTTTTTTTTTCCAAGGATTTATTTATTTATTTAAAAGTCAGAGTTACACAGAGAGAGAAGGAGAGGCAGAGAGAGAGAGAGGGAGGGGGAGGGAAAGAGGGGGAGAAAGAGTGAGGGAGGGAGGGAGGGAGGTCTTCCACCCACTGGTTCACTCCAAGGTTGGCCGCAATGGTCGGAGCTGCACTGATCTGAAACCAGGAGCCAGGAGCTTCTTCCAGGTCTCCCATGTGGGTTTAGGGGCCCAAGGGCTTGGGCCGTCTTCTGCTGCTTTCCCAAGTGCATTAGCAGGGAGCTACATTGGAAGTGGAGCAGCCGGGTCTTGAACTGGCGCCCATATGGGATGCTCACACTGCAGGTGGTGGCTTTACCGCTACACCACAGCACCAGCCCCGAGAATCTTTTCACTGTCTTGTTCCCTGCTGCCCCCCACCCAAAAAAGCTCTGTGCATGTGTGTGTGTGTGTGTGTGCACGACTGTGTCTCTTTTGAGATAGAATTCATGAGTAAAAATGATGCATAATCACGGCTGCGTCCGTCTTGATTGGTGGGAGCCTGGTATCTCCTAGTGAGGGGCCAGCTCCCGTGTGGGAGAGCTTCCGCGGCCACCGCTTCCCTTCCTGGCTGCACTTGTCCCCACAGGCCTGGCCTCAGGGCGTGCTGGGGCTGGGGGTCTGCAGACCAGGGTGCACTTCTCCTGGGTACTGCTGGTGTGCTCTCCCTGTCCGTCCTCTGCACCTGAGTATGTGGGACCCACAGCCCTGCAGGCGGAGTGGAGGCCTCTCCTGGGTGGTAAGCTCCCGCTGGCACTGTACAGCCCCCCTGGCTCTCACAGTTACGGCCTCTCCGCATGACACAGCAGTGGGAAGAGCCTTTTGGCTGTTGCCTCTTGTGGCCCAGCAGGCACCTGGGAGAGAGAAGATGATGGAGACTGAGAGTAACCCCAAGGGAGTGAGGGGAGGAGGGAGGGAGCCCTGTGGGACAGAGGCACCTGCAAGGCCCCCGCGTGCAGGCCCTCGGGGTGCTCCTGCCTAGCGGTGGTGCAGGGGTCAGGCTCAGCACTCTGCACCCTCAGCCCTTCCCAGGGGGTGCCGCACACACTCGCTCTCCCTCCAGTGGTGGGTTGGGTGTCACCTCCATAGAAGCTTTGACATTTGTCTTACGTTAATCATGAAGCATTTGCCCCACACGATGTGTGTGTTGTCTATAGAAGTCACCAAGCCCAGTCAGGACACAGAAGCCTCAGGATCTAACACGCGCCTCATGGAATAAAACACTGCCCGTGTGCGTGGCCATCCCGCGAGGTAGCCCCTGCACCTGTGGCGTTGGCCATTCTCAGTTGGCCCATTTTAGAAGTGCTTTTACCGCCTACGTGTGTGTGTCTCTCAGTAGCCAGTTCTGAGCCTTGTACGGCATGGGAATCCGTCCTCTGGAGCTTCATTTAAATGCCACACATTGTCCTGGAAGATGAAAAGCAGATCTGTGCCCTTGAAACGGGCATTCTCACTGGTGGGGATGAGCACTGTTCCCTCTGCTGGCCTCCCCAGAGTCGGGGAGGAGGCTGGAGGCCCTGCACCAACTGCTGCCGGGGACCGAACAGGGGAGGGGGAGCCGCAGCCCAGCCACCGAGGCCACGCTGCTGGAATGACCATCCACAGGGCTGCCGGGCGAGATGTCGGGAAAGCGTGCAGACCAGGCTCCAGCAACAGCAGCAAGGAGGCTGGGAGACCGAGGGCTGCGTGGGGAGCTCCGAGAGGCATCAGGCCATGGGTGTGGGTGTCAGCCCTTGAGAGACACGGAGACACAGATGGGTTAGGGAACAGCAGAGTTTGTCTGGGTTTCTTCAGAGCTGCAGCCTGCGGGGAGAGACGTACATCTTCATGAGCGCGTGCTCCAAGGTCGTGCTGAGTGGGAGGGGCCTGGCATGGTCTGTCAAGAATTTAGGTGGGTGCAGCGAGAGCGGCCACTGTCTCCCCAGGAGGAGTTTGCATAACTTGAAGAATGTGCTAGAAGCGGTTTGGGGAGAGGAATGGGGAGGGAGGGATAGGCTGTTTAATAAACACGGTAAGTTGTCAGCATGTGAAGTACAGGACAGAGAGGGCGCTAGCCGGGGCAGGGTTCGGTCCTGTCCTGAGAAGAGGATGCGTGGCCAGGGGGTCCGGAGTTCTCCCAGGCTGCGCAGATGTCTAGCCTAGCGGTTAAGATGCCCAAAAGCCGTATGAGAGTTCCTGGCTTCCGTCTCCAGCTCCAGCTTCTTGCTAGTGCAGACCGTGGGAGGCAGCCGCGATGATGGCTCAAGTGACTGGGTTCCTGCTGCCATGTGGGAGACGGGGCTGCCTTTGGAGCTGCCGGCTTCTACCCCAGCTCAGGCCTGGCTGTTGTAGCCATCTGGGGAGTCAAGCAGCAGGTGAGTGCCTTCTCTGCGCTTCTCAGAAGCAACAGGGTGGCTAATGCAGATCTCACGTGCCTTCTGGCCTGGCGGCTTGGGGGTGCCTCTGTCTGCTTCTCATTACACTTTGTTCCACGTGGGTGAAGGGTGGTTCAGGGTGGTCCCAGCACCTGCGCCCTTGTGCGGGCAGCCTCGGAAGCTCCTGCCCAGGGGCCAGAACAGAGGTTTGGAGCAGCGGAGAGAACAGTGCCGCCCTCAGTCCCACATTCAGCAGCTAGCGACGTAACACCTGCTGTGTGCCACGACGGCCTCTCTGTTGCATCACACCAGGGGTAGGACAGTGACTAAGACCTCCTGCTGCCAAGGACTCTGTGGTCTAGTAGGAGTTCTGTTGGCTTTGCCAAGTTATATGAATGTAGCACATGACCCCCAGACATCCTGAGTGGCTTCAAACAAGCAACACCATCTCCTGGCTCATGTCAGTACCTGCTCTGTGCCATGTCCTCTGCCTTCTGGGTCCCAGCCCTTACCTGGCCATGTCATTTCCCCAGGGCAGGGGTGGGAGTGAGAGAGGTGATGAAACAGCGCAGAGGTTCCTGTCATGTCTGCTCAGAGCGGGCTGGCATCACTCCCTGGGAGCCCATTGGTCAGAGCACATCATGTGACCAGGGCAGGTGCTGCTGGAGAGAAGTTGGCCCTCCCAAGGGAGGCACTGCACTGCGGTCGCGAGGCCATGAGCTGCAGCCCTGGAGCAGACTGGGGAAGAGTGTGAGAGGCGCTCCCAGATAGCACAGGGCTTTATGATAAATTAATGTGACAATTTGACTTTATTAATACATTCACACCAAAAATAAACGTGGCTTTAGGGATTCTGTTCAGGAAACTTTGGAGACCCGTGTCTGAGAGGGAGATTGTTCTAGAGAGCTCACCAGGAGCAAGGGGAGCAGCCAGCCGGAGCTGGCCACCCTGGTCTCCGCAGTGTTGGCGTGTGTACGCCTGCAGTGCTATCTGAAAAGAAGCTTCCTGGCCTCTTGGCGCACCTGTCGCCTCCCGGCTCGCCTCCTGCTTACCCTCAGTTCAGCTGTGTTGTCAGTAGCAGGGACAACCCATACCTGCGCCTCCCCTGTGTGGTTGGTACCCCTGCACACTTGTGTAACCCACTTCCTGCCATGTCATTTTGGAAGGGCCTGCTCTGCTTTGCTTTGCCCTAAAGTCAGTTGATGTTGGGGGTTGGGACCGACATGTTTTTAAACCGCCTTGGGAGCTCCCGCCACCATGCTGGGCACGCACTGGACACTTAGCAAACCTGTGCACAGGAGGCCGCCAGCAGTCTGTCAGTGCACTGTGTGATACCTTCCGCGTCAGGGCAGCCAGCGGTGATTTGGGTGGCAGTTGGGGTTGCACAAGAGAGACCCTTGTACGTTGAAAACCAGGTTTGCAGTTCTGTGTCCCAGGGCTTGTCTTTGGGGTGGGCACTGCCTCACTCGTCCTCTTACAGTACGCGTGCATTCATCTGCACGCCTGTGTGCTTTGCAAATGCAAGTGGCCTGCTTTGAAAGGGAGGCGTTTACGCTTTCCAAGGGCAAGGACTGTGTCTCCTCTTCCCTTTTCTTTTAAGAGATTCCCCACGGCTCCTGATAAGAACTGCGAGCACAGTGGGTGCAGTAAATTTCACCTATCTCATCGTCCTTTGAACCCCACCACACACACACACACACACACACACACACGGTCCTGGGCCTGGGGGGGCCTTTGCAGAGGACTGATTACGTGCAGACCTTGACCTTGAGAAGTTCACAGGAAAAAGGGAATGAACAATTGCAGTCTAGACCAGTGGCACAGTTGCATAATTAGCCACACACAGGCCGGCGTGGGATGTCTGTGCTCTGAGACCCCATGCACCTTGCAGAAGCAGTGTCCTGGGACTGTTGGGTACTTAGCCCTGGTGCCAGGGTTGGGTGTGACAGATGGCGACAGCCTCTTGGAAACATTTAAGCTCTCCAAGTCTCAGTTTCCCCCTCCGTCCTGGAATAATGAAGACAGTGCTGTGGTGACGGGGGCAATCCCTGCAGATGCGGTACAGGCCTGGACAAGGTTGAGTTGCACGCTCATGGTCTGAGTTTGTAATAGGGAGACTTCCTGTGTTTCCATGTTGTCTTTTATGGAGACCTCCTTCGCGTTTGGAAAAACAATGGTCATTTCCTATTCTTCCCTCCCATAATTCAGACTTTTCCCCCGAGACGGGTTTCTCCCTCGTCTTGGCTGCCGTGAAGCCAAGGGCGCTGTTTCCTAGGGAAGCTGAGGAGGGGCTGGTGGTGGCTGCATCCTCAAGGCCTTTTCTTCTCTGTTTTGCAGTGCAAGTTGGAGTTCCATGCTTGTTCTACCGGCAAAAGCCTCACCGCCCTCTGTGATGGCCCCTGTCCGTGTCTCCCGGAGCCTGAGCCGCCCAAGCACAAGGCAGAGAAGAATGGTGAGTGGGGGTCCTGGGAGACTCTCTGAGGAGACTGCGGTGGTCAGGGAGGGCTGCAGTAGCCCAGCTGTGTCCAGGTCACCAGGGGCCTGGCCTTTGAGTGAGCTGTTCTGTTCCACGTTGGGGAAATGAGCCAAGCTGGCAACTCAGGGCTCTGGCTTGTGGAGGGACCCTCAGCTGAACTGCCTTCAGCTAGCATTAAAGAGACGAAGAAGAGCTGAGCCTTTGGAAGTAATTCCATTAGACCAAGCCAGCCGCTGGGTTCTTTTAAAGGTCAGATTGGCTCCTGCGCGGGAGGGGTGGACTCTTGCACTCTTGCGCAGAGCCACAGCCAGGGTCTGCCCCGGGGTCTCTCTGGGTCTTCCTTGAGCTCCACTCTCCGAAATCCTTTGAACTTGGCTCAGCCGGATATCACAACGGAGGCTGCAGAGATGCCACACCGTGGAAAGCGTGCTCCCCAAAGCGTTGCTTTATGGGTATCTTCTGCTTGGGACGCAGCACAGAGCCAGGGGCCAGAGATGAAAGGCAGCGCCTCCCCCGGGGGCGGCGCTGGCTCTTCCGGGGCTGAGAGGGCCGGGAAAGGCTGGGCTTGTCTGGATGCTTCTGTGATGGGGAAAGTGATGTTGGCCCCGTGGCCGCGGCCCTGTGTGGAGCCTGCCTTAACGAGACCTGAGGTAGAAGACTGCATTTGCTGTCTGTGGAACTGGGCTTTCTCGGGGTAGCTGGCCGGCCCGTGGAGAGCGGTGCGGTTTCGTGAGGGCGAGTGTGGCACGCGTGTACATGCGTGTCGTCTACAGCAGTGGCTGTTGGTAGTAGAATTACGTCCAGGACGTCGACCCATTTGCCTGCCTAGAAGCTGTGTTGTCTTTCCTGGGGAAATTGAGGGCTTCAAGCCTAAGTGTGTTCGCGTTCACTTGAGAAATGCTGTGCATAAAGGCTGTTTGGGAGGTGGAAGCACACCGGCACCCCGAAGCCCAGTGATCACACGTCATCTCCAGAGATGATTCCCAATTTCCAGAAGGCTGATCCCGCTGCCTTTGGGCCTGACTCATTAATTTCAGTGCAGTGGGGGAAAGTTAACTCATAGACGGCGGCTCGCCGGGGCTGGGGAGAAAGTCTGACGCCACGTGTTGTTGTGCACCTGCTGCGTCCTGCTAATTGATTTCTGTGCAGAGGTTTCCTGAGACTCCTCCTAGGAAGCTTTAGTTGCCTCTGTTACTCCAGGCATATTGTTTTTTTTGATTTTCTTTGCTCTTCGGTTCTGAGGTTAGGAAACCAATCCCCAAACGTCACCTCCCCTCTTGCCTCAAGGGCTTCCAAATCTGCTCGTTTCTTGATTTGCCATTAAAATTGTTTTCCAGTATATAGGTGAGTTTCTCCAAACAGAGGACAGCCCTGCTTCTTAAGGGTAGACTTCCTACCTGGAAAATAGGGATTTGTTCTCAAATGCGACATTCCACATATGGTCCTGACTGTACAATCTATTTGTAAAGATTAGGACACATTCTTACTGAACCTACACAAGTATCTAAACTGCCAGGAAGTGTAAAGAGACTCGAAAAACATCTTGTTCCTGAATTTTGAAAGGTCAGCTGGAACACGATTTCCATTTTAAAATGTTTCATTTCCAAAATGTTTCAAAAGCATGGCCTGCTGAATTAATGGTGAGAGAAAGAGATCAGGAACAAGAGAAAGGACTTGAGCATCGTGTATCAGACAAGAGTACATTGAAGAGACCGACAACATTCCAACACATTCGAAGTTACCTTTCCTGATCAGTCCTCACAGTCCTGTATGCATAGTTCTGTTGCATCAGATCTTGGGTGAACAGTTTTCTTTAGGAAGCCATCTGTGTCTGCCCTGGAAAAAGTCCTGGGTCTGCTCACTCAGTCCCCAATACTACCTGCAAACTGAGAAGCATCGTTTCGGAACCCTGCACCATTGAGTCTGTTACCTGTGATATGGGCAGTTCCAGACTCGGTACCATCCTTGCCACGGGGTTCTCACGCCATCCTTCTGTGCTGACGATGCACTTTCTAGGCTGCGACCGAGAGCAGAGCTTTCCTGTGAGCTTGAGGGGAACCAGAGACTGCCTGTGGTGGGGCAGACTGTCACTCACTCACTACAGATCCAACAGCATGCTAATGGCAGAGTGTATCCTCCTATTAGGGCGTAATGTGTAATTATTTAATATGGATTGGATCAGCATGTCCCCAGAGGATAAGAATGTAATATGGGCAGGGAAGGCAATGACGACTCCCCAGGGTCATTATGTGAAATGAGACATGGGCAAAATTGATCAAGGGAAGGCTGACCTTTTGCATTGACTTGACAGTTCGCACTGTGCAGCTCTCACAATTGTTTGTGAAAGGCAGTGAGTCATTCGAAATGGAGACTGTGACAGCTGGGATGAAGAGGAGGGAGTGGGTGCAAGGGAGAGACCACAGGTAAAATGAAACACAGCTTTCAGCTCATCACTTAGTTGTGTGGGTGGAGGGAGGAGTCCACCTTCCCTTACCCAAGCAGTCCCTTTCGACTTCCACGGGTGGCGGGTATGGCCTCTGTGAGACACAGCACAGCTCTGGACCGTGTCTGGAGAGGTCTTGTGTCCAGGCTTATTGGGGAGATGGCATTTCTTAGTTTCAGAAGTGCAGGTGCGCCAAGCATGTGGCAGCGTTCTTAGTGTTGCTATTTTATTTGCAACCTTAGCTCCGTTATGAACCTCACTTCCATGTGCTAAGGTAACTTCTGTTAGTTCATGGCTGTGTCTGAATTCTGAGAGTGGGCTGGGGTGGTGGCTTATGCGCTGTGATGTCGGCAGGAGGCAGTTCATGGTGTGGTCTGTCATTCTTTCACATCCACCCCCTGCACAGAGTTCTCAGCATCTCTACATTGGCCAGCAGTGTCCACCCTACATGTCCAGGGAGATGTCTTTGAGGTCGCTCCTGTGGCCTCTGGTCGCCATCTCCGTTGAGGACCAACTTGGACGGCACGCTCCTCTGTGTGGTGTAGTCGGTGTCCAGCCCCTCCTTGGCGCTGTTGAGGGGCACAGAAAGCTCCATGGTGCATGGTTTCCCAGCATCAGAAAGACTTGTGATGCTGCCGTCACAGCACTTCTCTCCGTGGGCCCGCCCGGCAGCCCTTCCCGTTCCGCATTGAGGACGTGTTTGCAGAGCGTGCCTCAGCTTGGGGTTCTCACCCAGCAGCACGCATGTCCCCCCATGCTTCAGGCTCTCCCCCGGCCTTGGATTTCATAACTGCCTCTTGCCCAGGCATGCCGGTGTGAACAGACCCTCTCTTGACGACTCACCTGCCTCCGCCTGTTCTCCTTCCCAGAGTGTTACTTTTGTAGGCCAGCTGTGAGCAGCCCTGGGTGTGAGAGCAGAGGCTGTGTGAGGACAGGGGCTCGCCTGTCACTGCGGGTGTGCTCCGCTTCCTCCAGCCTTGGAGCTTTTGAGTCTTCAGGTGCCTGGCTCCAGCAAATCAGAAATCTCTTGTCGTGGCTTCGGCAGTGTATTTTGGAAGCTGGAACCTAGTGGTTCATCTTACACTTGGTGTGTGTGGCATCTCTGCTTTGATGGGTTCCCTGGAGAGGCGGCGGGGTGTCATCCTTTATTGCCTCTGCATATTTCCTGTTACACCAGCAGATTGCCTCATGACCTCGGCCAACTCACTTAATTGCCTTTTCCTCCCAGCCCTGTGAAGCCCATGCAACCTCAAGAGCACAAAGTGATGTTTGTCCAGAAAAACAAACAAACAAACAAAAAAACAGAAAAGGGGGGAAACACACCTTAAAATAGGGAGGTGAGATCACAGTCTGTGTAGCAAGCTTAGAGCTGTGTGCATTTTTCTGGGTTTTTCAGGCAGTCTCTCCTTGCTCACTTGGCATTCTCCCAGCATCAGCACCCAGCCGGGAAGTCCCTGCTTGGATTTGACCTGAATTCCCAGCGCCGGGGCTCTGCAGCCGCACTTCCTCCAGGCCCCACTGGTGGAGACTCTGAGGAAGGCCGGCAGCACTGTGTCCCAATTCTTTACCGGAAACCCAAGGGGAGTGTAGCGGCCTCTGAAAATGCGAGGCTTCCACGTGCGTGTTTGCAGTGAGCCGACTATCGCTGTCTCCCACCTGGCTGTACCCCTCCCCTCCCCGCTTCCATGCACACAAACAGCCCCATCTGGGCCTGAGACTCACAGCCTTGCTCTGGGCCTGTCACCCTGTGATGGACCCCGTGATGGACCCTGTGATGGACAGGAGGTTCCTCCTGTCCTGGTGAGGACTGGGCGGAGCTGAGGGACTGTGCATCAGGGTGGGTCTTGCTGAACTTCTCCCAAGCGTGTCGAGGGGGCCCCTCTGCACCTTGAGGTGCTGCAGGTTCCCCGTATGAAGACGAAGTGGGTGGGGCCTGAGCCCTTCCTCTGGAGGGTTCCTCCTTGATGTTTTCCCACTCCAGTTGCACCTGCGTGGAGGGTTGACAGCCTCTGACCCGGATGCAGTCCCAGGCCTTTGCGTGGAGACAGAGGCTGGGTCACGTGACTCGGCTGTAGCACTGTGGTTCCTCCACCAGCAGCCTCTCCAGCCCAAAGGTGGTGCGGGGGCTGCAGGGTGGAAATGACTGTAACCTCTCTTGGGGCTATGGTCCCTGGCCTGACATCGTGTCCCCACGCAGCCTCCTGCAGTCTCTCCCACCCCTCTCCTCTGCAGGGGCGGGCACACGTCAGGACCCTGTGGCCAAGGGTAGCTCCTTGTCTCTCTCTCTCCTGGCACAGACCTGCTGTGAGAGAATGGACGTGAGTCTACCCAAGCTCGCCAAGACCTCATGGAGAAGGCTGTGGAGCTGGAGCGCTTGGCTGGCTGGCCCTGTGCTGGGAGGTGGGGGCAGGACCTGCACACTCTGTGCACGGAGGAAAGAGAACGGCGACTTTGTCCAGCTGGGCTGCTAAGGAGGAAATAACAGCTTCCCTCCAGCTGGGCTGCTTAGAGCAGGGGGAAAATAGTCCACAGT